CCTGGAGGCAAGGATTTTAAGGCTCTGTCTTGCATACTTTGGAAAAATGGCCAGGAGGGACCAGTCCTTGCAGAGGGATATTATACGTCAAAGGGTGGAAGGAAAGTGTAGGAGAGGAAGACCCAGGATGAGATAGATTGACTCAGTGACTGGAGAAATGGGATTGAGTCTGTCAGAAATGATGAAATGGGCTCAGGACAGGGAAGGTTTCAAAGCTAGCTAATGTACATAGGATTGTTATGAGTTGTAGGCAATTTGATGTCAAACAACAAAAACATAGGCAATATATTGAATGGCCCAGAAAGCATCAAAAGAAGATAGAGGTAATACACTGAATCACTGACTGACATGGAAAAATTTCAGGAAGCGCTATATGAATAGGGGCCAATGATAATGGAGGAAGTGGTAGCTACAATGAAGGCTTTGGCCAAAAATAAGGCCCCAGGAATCGATGAGATACCAATTGAATTGTTTCAATTAACAGATGCAGCCTTGGATGCACTCATCAGTCTATGCCAAGAAATTTGGAAGACTGGCCAATGGATTGGAAAAGGTCCATATTTGTTCCAATTCCACAGAAAGGTGATACAACAGAGTGTGGAAAATAAAGAACAACATAGTTAATATCACATTCAAGCAAAATACAACTTGTTGTTGTTGTTATGTGCCGTCGAGTTGCTTGCGACTCACAGCGACCCTATGTACAACAGCCCTAAACTCTGCTCTGTCCTGTGTCAATTGCACTGTCTCCGACACTCCCATCCCGATTATCCCAGTCCTTGCTTTCAAGCAGCCACCCGGTTTAACACTTTCCAGGACAAATCTGTTTGTTTTCTTAGCAGGACGTTATGCTGAGTGAAATATTTCAATCACAAAAGGACAGATATTACATTGTTGTAAAACAGGACTGACATTGGTGTTGCAGGGAGACTGAGAAAGAGGGGATAAATAATGTATACTGCATTGAAACAGATGAGGGAGAGAACTGTTTCAAAGGGACATATGATTAGGTATTATTGTCATGACCGAAGTCCAGAATGAAGACTGCACAGTGGCGTGGACATGTGGGGAGGGATTGTCTAACATTGAAAGAATTTTTCTTTTACTTTTCAAATAGAAGAGCAAATCGGGGTGGGGGGATGGACGGGGAGAAAAGTGCAGCAAAGAATGAATGGAAACCCTAAATCTCTGTAAACTTTCATT